ACTAATGTCCAATATATTAGGACTTTTTTTTAAATGTCGGGGGGTGTCAAGACACGGAGGACACCCCCCAAAATACGCCACTGTTAGTAGGTAATACATATCGTAGGAATAAAGTTTTTGAAAAATGACATATTTCCCTATTCGGTCGTCTGTTAAAGTTGTATCGAAATCATTATAACTTGTAGCGTATTGGATAAATGTATAATAGATCGAAAACGAGCACAGAGTGTCCTACTGCTGTTATGTCAATTTAGTACTAGTTAAATGTTGACCATCAATATTGACACTATTTTAAGAATAGCTAACGTAAATTTTGATATTAAAATAAAAAAGGAAATAGTAAAAAATACCAACAATTTAAAAAATAAAAATTTTGTTAACATTATCGTGCGATTTGGAGATATGGTTATTGTTGTGGAATTGGAAATTTTGATTAAAAAAATATTCTGACGACGTGATCGTCGCTATATAAGTAGTACATGCCGTGCGGGTGACGGGTGTTTTACGAATTATTACCTCGAACACTTTCATCCTGATATCTCTTTCCAAGTCGAATTTTATGCCCTCTATGGTGTAAACCCGTTTCCATAGTTCTTCGCAGATTTCCGCAAGCTCCTCTAAACATCAATACTGTAAGATAGTAAAATAGAAAAGCAAAACGAATACCGCGATTTGGACGAATATAATTATGTCGTATCAGTCGGGCGCGTTTTATGACGTCGTAGGGGGACTGCTGCAGAATTCGATTGTCTACGAACATCGATGAAGTTCGTCTTACGATTTCCGGTGTCTGCGGAGGGTYATAATCATTGGTAGGTACAGAAATCAACAGCAAAATAAATCATTACGCGCATCACTAGTGACATCAAAAACAAACCCCGAAAATCCGGAATTTTTACGCTGCCGTGGTCGTTCGAATAATGCGATTTGAACGCTCCCCGTACATGTTGTACAATATAATATTATGGTTATTACTATTTTTTATTWTTTTTATAATATGCTGCGTGTGCGTACTGCATGCCTGCCCCCGTTTTGGCAACGGTATACAGAGTGCGGTTTTTATTTTAATCAAAGCGTTAGTGTTAACGTTGGCCCGCGGCGAGTGCACAAAATAAAAAACGTCAACCGCAGATGATGATGCCCTTGTGTGTAGTTTTGCGTTCGGAAAGACTTGTTGACGTCAAGCCAAAAGCAAATCGAGACGACCAATATAATATGGGTTGATGTGCGCAAGACTGACAAATTATTAGTATTATAATAAGAATAACCCAGTAGCGTACGCMAGATTTTAGTTCGATCAGGGTTTTAGATGGACAAATGATTTACATTATTTTATGCTAAACTGCAGTTTTTATATAATTWATTATATAATAAAAAATATAATTTATTATAAATCAACAATTTATTTTATATCTATTATAAAAATTACCAACAATTGATCGACTTTGTGTATCGAAGATGGTGGTAAATAAGATTTTTTTTCTAAGAGGAAGAAATTTCAGGGGGAGRGGGTCAGAACCCTAGAATCCTTCCCCGGCGTACGCCACTGATAACAACTACAAAGCAGCCGAAAACAGCGTATATGAATAAAAACTAATGAAAAAATCACGTCATAATTTACTGTCGCCGACAACAGTCCGAAAAGTGCAAAAGCTATGGAGGCGTAAAAGCTCCYCRAAATTTCGAAAAGCGTTTATTATATAAGCCACCGCGTTGCACAAAAAATTGTATTAAACGATAGTAATAATAATAATAATATTGTGCGTATTGTTTATAGTCAAGCGGTAAAACGACCGAACAGGACCGTCATCTAACCTCGAAATCTTTCTTTTTCACGACGTATTCCAAGTCGAACTTTTGATCTTCTAATTTCGTGATCCTGTCGTAATACTCTTTGATCACCCGTTTGATCGTATCTATATCGATAGGAATCGAACAGAATAAAAAAACAGTAGTTACGACAACAATATTCAGGATGTACTTGTCCGTCCGTTCTTGTCCCGAACAGGCCGAACACAATATAATATATTATATACGAATATTATAACGACGGCGGTATAGGTACGTCGGCCCGTCGCCAGAAAGTCTCGTGAGATTTGCCCGTCCGAGAGCTATTTTTCAACGCCTTATTTCATTAAAAAAAAAAAATGTAACCGTTTACCTTCGCCGGCGTCGTCGATGTTTTTCGGTTGTCCGCACCGCTCTTCGATGATCCGTCTCCGTTCGGCGGCTTTGCGTTCTTGTTCTTTCTTCAACTCTTCGGCGGCCTTTTTTCTTAACAACAGCTGCACAGCACACGCGATCGGGACAGACAAAATATACATTAGCGAGACAGTATAAAATAAAAAAATAATTTATTAATTCCCGCATCAATGTATATACATATATACTCCGCGAAAGTGCAATATTTGCAGCTATATAATTGCATAGTATACAATAATTATATCATAATATTATTATTGGCGCATACTCACACGGAGTTTCTTCTTTCTGTCCGGGGTCATGAAACCCTTCTTGGCCTTTTTGGCCTTGGATGCCTCTTCCATGCGCTTGCGCACTTCGGCCCTCTTGCGGTCGATTTCCGCCTGTTTCGCCTTCTTAGCCTGCGGAGGACAAGCGAAAAACAGAAATATTAGGGTT